CACAGGCTTTCATCTTCTTTAACATTATATGGATGCATACCATTTGTATATTGGCTGAACATTAGTTGCCATGAACCATGGGACAAAAATCATTTGGATGTTCTTACTTAGTATAAGTAATAATGTATGTGGAGGGTTGTCTTAGTTGACATAAAATTATATGCAACGTAATGTGACAGACTATAGTTCATCTAAAGAGTTTTTAAACATCATTTTCTGATGTGGATTTATTATAATGGCCTCTTTTTTTGGTGGATTGTGTTTGGGTGAGCTGTAGCTGTATTGGTTTTATGATCAAAGTCACATTTGCGTCATGCATCTCGGTTCATTCATCTCATTCCGACCGATATATAAAATATCTAATTTATTTATCATTTCTGATAGTGTAATTATTATTATGACCTCATTTTTGAGGATACTTTGAATATTTGGACTTTTAAAACATGTATTTGTCACAGCGCTGGGCTGTATGGATAAACTGTAAGAAAAGATGAAAATAGAATTAAAATAGAGTAAAATGTAATCAAATGGTGACAGTACTTCCTGAATAAAATAAAATAAAATAAGTAAACAAGAAAGTAGAAAAAAACAAACGCACAATAAATAAGTAGTGACACGTTGAAGTATTTACAGATGGAAAAAAAAAGTAAAATGAAATAAGATAATAAATTAAATAAAAAAATGCATTTGTCACAATGACGGGCTATTTAAGTGAACAAGAAAGCAAAAAAAAATGTTTAAATAAAAAATAGTAAAATAAATGCATTTGTCACAATTCTGGGCTATTTAAGTTAACAATAATGCTAAAAGAAAATAAACAAATAACTCATTTATTTTATTAAAATGGAATTGCATTTGTCACAATGCTGGGGTATTTAAGTGAACAAGAAAGCTGACAGACAAACAAACAATAAATACATTATTAGTGACAAGTTCAAGTATTTAAATATGAAAATACAATTCAATAAAAAGTCAAATAAAATAAAACAATAAAATAATATGAATTATAGTTACCAGTCACTTTAAATGTACACTTTCATATATGTACATTTTTAACTAAACCCTTAATTGTGGGGAAATATTTTAGAAAATGTACATATTTAATTTGTCAAAAACCCCTTCACAGCAATTAAATGTGTAATCTTAAAATGTCATCCATTGCTACTGTTTCTACTCCGTTTTCCACTGGGATTTCTGGGGTTAGTGTAAAGGGTGGGAACAGCGGAGTATTCCGGCGGGAAGACAATTCCTGGAGGACAGGTCCTTCTCACTAAGAAATCTGACTCAGGTGTCAACTGGAGTCATGTCCCCTGGCCAAACCATAGTCGTCCCCTCCCCAACCCCCACCCAGGGCCCACTTTACCTCTGCCTGCCCCTCTGTCTGTCAGCTAAACCCGCTCCACTGAGGCCCGAATGCAGAACCAGATGTGCTGGCTGAGTCCTGAAACATTCTCTTCCCACTGACATCTTAACCTGAAAGGTGTGTGTGTGGGGGAGAGAGAGGTCAAACTTTAGCCTGGCCTCTAAGTGAGTGTAGATTACTTTTGAAGGTTGTGTTTATTGCTTCAGCACTGATTGTGTATTTTGTTGCATGTTTTGATCCTGTACAAGAAGAACTTCACAGTACAAAAAAAAAATCGACTTTTGTTTAGGTTTCGTTCCATTTAGTTTCAACAAGGCACTACATTCCTAATCACAACGCAAACGTCTCTAATATTCATTCTGTTGATCACAGTGCATGTTTTGACTGCATTGTGTTTGGGTGAGCTGCAGCCGTATTGGTTTTATAATCAAAGTCACATTTGAGTCATGCATCTCTGTTCACCCTTTCACCCACAATTCATCATCTCATTCCGACCCGATATACGATATCTAATTTATCAACACATGCCCAATCTAAGCAGCCCCACACATGTGCGAGCAATTAGGCTATAGAACAGTTGCTAACACAAACACCTTCTGATAGATGACACTCGAAATGTAAGGCCAAACCATGGCAAACATGACTCAAGGAACTAACGTATCAATCAGATGAGCAGTGGCCTTTACTGTCACCTCCATCGATTAAACACGTTGTTTGGAGTTTCTGAAATGTGTTGCCAAACTGAAGTCTGTAGACCATTGTGGTGTTTACTGTATAGGTTCAGAGGGGTGACAATTCCTCTCACAAATGATTACACCGTGTCACAAAAAAAAGAGTTTTAGGAACATATTTCAGACCGAATAAGGAGTCGCAGTCAGTGGATGTCTATATTTAAGCCATATGTAGAAATATTTTGTCTCTTATCAATGATAGAATCCACAAGGGTTTGTCAGGGAAAAGATTGCAGTGCTCAGGAGTTCTTCCGTTGTGTTTTATGTGTGCATCAACTTTACTATCAACCTTAGGAGAAATAAAAAAAGACAGTAAGAATTATAGAGCTGTAAATATTTGGCATAGCTCAGATACATTTGTTTTCTCGTGGAAGATATTTGAGTTCTTATTGAAACTGAAGCTTTTGACTGCAGGCATCTGCACATTTGAGCACATTGTTAAGATTTGAAGAATAAATTATAGAGGAGACATGTAAGATTGGGAAGACAGCAGGAGACTTAAAACGAAAGTCTCAATTTGATCTCAGTTTAATCTCACTGTTATCTAGTAGAAACAATTTAAAGATGCACTATGTAACTTTTTTTTTTGTTCAATTTAAATAATGAATCAAAACATCATCAATCCTTCTTCCAGAACCTGTTTTTGTTTTACCTTGATTCACTATGGTAAGCAGCCAATGATAAGTGTTCATGTTTTAGACATGAACACTGGTTTTTGTGGGAAATTGCGCATTTGCGTAATAGAGAAAAGTTGCTCCGGATACTTTGACGTGTGTATGGTGTGAGGGTGGCATTGGTTAGTAGTTACAATGAGTGAGAAAGGTTGAAACCTCTGGGGAATCACCCGTTTAAACACACGCTGAACAGAGGAGAGTCTGATGGCAAACCAGAACGCGACAGAGCTCGTAATAGAACAAGAATCAACATATGCTTGGCTTTCGGAGATGGAGAGAACTGAGGGATTTGAAATGTTGTGAAAGTGACAGAGATATTGCGTATTGCCATATATAGCTCTCTAACAGAGTTCATTGTAAAGCAGTATCTAGTGAAGGGTCATTTCATTATGGTTGTTGTAGCGCTGTGCTGAAAAGGACGTATTGTGTCTATTAATGGGTAAAGCTACAGTAACGTCTTCAGCTAGTTAGCTTGAGATCCTTTCCATCTATCTCTTAAGACTAGTAGTAAATGTTTTATGAACAGTAGGATAACCTCTTTGTTTTATTAACCGCTACACTCTAAACAATGCTGGGTTGTTTCAACCCAAATTTGGGTCAAATATGGACAAACCCAAATGTTGGGTTAAAAATGTAATTAAAAAAATTACAGTTGAAAGTGAAAGTTGAAGTTGGGTTAAAATTTTAAATTACATTTTTAACCCAACATTTGGGTCTGTCCATATTTGACCCAAATTTGGGTTAAAACAACCCAGCGTTGTTTAGAGTGTAGAGAGTCAAAAGTGAAAAAAAAAATACAGTAAAAAAAGTGGTATTGTGAAAGATACATAATATATTTTAAAATGTTATTTATTCCTGTGATCAAAGCTGAATTACTCCAGTCTTCAGTGTCACATGATCCTTCAGAAATCAGTCTAATGTGATGATTTGCTGCTCAAGATCTGTGAAAAAAACATATTTTTTTCAGGATTATTTGATGAATAAAACAACATTTATTTGAAACAGAAATGTTTTGCAAAATGATAACTGTCTTTACCGTCACATGTGATCAATTAAAAGCATCCATGCTGAATAAAAGTGTTAATTCCCTTCAATATATATAAATACTGTACATAACTGGCCCCACATTTTTGAACAGTAGTGTGTGTTTTTGAACGAAATCATCTACGTTGTACACTATAACAAAACAAAGTTCAAAATAAACATCAAAACGGCTGAAATAAAAGCACAACAGACACTAGCTGCAGTGTATTGTGCGAGGCTGTCAGATCCAAGAAGGAAAAGTGGAGATAAAGTTGTCAGGTGAAAAAAACCTGGACCGACATGTGTCACTTTAATTCCCCCGCATCTGGCCGATGGTTGAGGTCCACTGTCCAGCATGACTGTCCAAATTGAGTTCCATCTGATCTTAATAAAAGTGAAAGTCCTTCAGCTCTCCACAGCTGGGGACCCTCTGTAGTGTACGATCCACAATCTGACATTTTTATTTTTTTTTTTCTTCCGAGGGACACTTCACTTTATGGCTTGTTCGCCCTGGTGCAATGAATTTAATGGGGTTTCTGATCGGCAGACGTCATAAATGACATCATTTTAATGACGCTATGGTGTTATTTAGCCATTTGTCGCCAGCTCGCATCCTTCAGTCAGCGAAAAGCTCAGTCTGTTTTTCTTCTTGAACGTAAGAAGACCTGGTTTTGCTCATCATATAGGGAGAGGTTTAACGTCGATCAGCTTCCCCAGGACTTGAAAGAGAGAATGCACAGAACTCCAGGCATGTGGAACAATCAGTGTTAGAAGCAAGATAGCTCTCCCGCTGGCCCCGTTCTCAACTTTGACCCCTGACCTCTTGGCACACGCGCCGCTGTAAATAAAGCTGAGGAGAGGCCTCCCCACCTAATTTCCTTTGGCCTCAAATTTAAACACCAATGCCTCTGACTGTTCTGTAACCAGGGGATAAACATCTCCTCACGTGGACCAGGTTCTCAACACGACCACTCTGGAAATCCAGAGAGAGGAGATATACACAATAGAAATTGTGTTTGACAAGTTGAATACAGTTGGTCTGGACGGGTCCCTGGCTAAGTGAGGTCTAAGCTGTATTGTCGAAATGAGGAGGTGCTGTAGAGAATTGCTACTGCCATGACAGGATGATTCATAAAATCATAATTGCAATAATTCTGTAATAGATTGATTTCATGGTCTAAGAGGTTATTGCACCTAGTTGCACCAGTTGTGATTCATTTAT